CGTGAATAAACAATGAAACGCATTTGTTTTGTCACACACACACACACACAGTAGACGGGACGAGTGTCTGTGAGGAGCGGGACGATTGCAGGTTTTGCCTGCGAGTTGCATCATGTTCCAGTGGACTGCAGGTGAAGGTGCGCCCTGCTTCCATTCCTCACGCTCGTCTCTGGCGATGGCAGGAGAGATTAACGAGCCGCGGTGAACAGATTTAGCCAAAGCGCCGCGAGTGTAGATTCAGCAGGGTCCTGGAGATTTTAGGCTGCTGCTTTTGTTGAAGTTTTGCATAAATTTGACTAAAAAGCAGCTTTTCGAGGAACTTCAGTGCTGGAGAAATCAATGCTCCAATTTCATGTTTTCATCAAATCAGGCAAAAGATGCGTAAAGGGCGCTTTCCAATTGCCATAAATGTGTCACGGTGAGCAAACGTGATCTAGATATGACAAGCTCCATTCTGAACACTGACTCATGGAGCTGTGAGTCACTGTGACCTTCAGTCATTCACACAGACACACACACACACACACACACACACACACACACACACACACACACACTCAAATTCAAATGAGCTTTATTGGCATGACTGTGGAACAGCACAATGTTGCCAAAGCAATAAACAGCGAACAAGTTATAAAAAGCTAAAACTCTCTCTCTCTCTCTTTCTCTCTTTCTCTCTCTCACTCACTCACTCACTCACTCACTCACTCTCTCACTCACTCACACACTCACACTTTTCCAATTTCCATAAATGTGTCACGTCGAGCAAATGTGATCTAGATATCACAAGCTCCATTCTGAACACTGACTCATTGAGCTGTCACAGCTTTGCAAATAATAACTACTATCACCAAAACTTGTTACACTGCAAAAAATTATTTTCTTCTATTTTCTATTTTTGTCTAGTTTTCCAGCACAAATATCTAAACATTAAATCAATATGCATTTACCTGAGAAGCAAAATTACTTTACATCAAGTCGTTTTGTCCTGAAAAATGCATCAAAATTAAATGAGTTTTTACTTAAAACAAGAATAAAATAATCTGTTTATAATTTTTTGTTTTTTTTTTATGTTCATATAGCTTTTATTACATTTTATTTATTAATTTTAGTTTTTTTATATTTTCAGTTTAAAGTAGTTTTGTTGTTTTTCTGTCATTGTATAATTTTTTAATTTTGTAAATATGTATATATTGTTTTTATACATTTTTATTTGTTTAGTTTTAGTTATTTTTATATTTTTCCAGTACTAACGTCTAAACATTCTTAAATCAATATGCATTTACTTAAGAAGCTAAATGAGTTTATATTAAGTTGCTTTGTCCTGAAAAATTAAGCGAGTTTCAGCTTTGAACATGAAAAAAATATCAAGAGAAATAATCTTGGTTTCCCTTTGAATTTAGTTGATTTCTCTGACCCCGTTGGCAGATATTTTTTCTTGTTTTAAGGAAAAACGAACAGAATTTTGACACATATTTCAGAAAAAGAAAATACTTCTTATCTTATACTATCTTTTTTATTTTATTCATTATTGATTTTTTCCACGCTGTTCTATTATTATATCATCAGCTGATGTTATGTTTTATATATATTTTCTGTTCGTTATGAGACATCATGTCTGGTCTGGTTTTCATGTCATTCAGACGATATGCTGCCCTCTGAATTACACAGAAACCAGAGGATGACGGGATCTAGATAACAGGCTCCACAGATTTCATCTTGTGTTTATGGAAATTATGCTCATGGAAATTACATAAATCAAAAGGGAAACGTGGATTGTAAAGTGTATCGTGCCGCTGGAGGAAGAGCTGCTTCACTGTAAAACTCACTGACAGCATTAAATTCAACCTATAAGTGTTACATTACACACTAACATACAGTATAGTTTCAAAATTCATCAAGGATGCATTCAATTGATTAAAAGTGACATTTATAAAGTTACGAAAGATTTCTATTTCAAATAAATGCTGTTCTTTTGAACTTTATGTTCATCTGTGAATCCTGAAAAATAAAATATATCACGGTTTCCACAAAAATATTGTGCAGCTCGACTGTTTTTAACATTGATAATAATCAGAAATGTTTCTCGAGCAGCAGATCAGCATATTATACTGATTTCTGAAGATCATGTGACACTGAAGACTGGAG